CACACACACACACACAAAAAGAAGGACGAAGCGTTTTCATGCCGCTAGACGGTGCTCTGGCAGGAGTCTGAGACATGAGGAGGGAACAAAATGTGCAGAGAGGACAAGTGATCATGATTGGAAAGAGTTAAATCCCATTTTTGATACAAGTCTACAGATAAAATAAAACACGTGTTAAAGAGATAAACACTGGGTTTTAAGTGCTCAAAAACTGCAGGAAATGGGTTTCCTGAATCTTAAATACACAAATGTTACAGTGATTAAAGATTACAGCAAGAGCTGGCAGAGTATAATTTATGTGAAATAGAGTCAAGCGTTTGAGGCTTTTTTTCTTAGAAATAGGAGGTTTCGTGTGCGTAAACTTGATGTAACTTGTCGACCAAAGCTGGAAAACTTATTCTAAAAGATTAAAACAGTCCAGAAACTACTGTTCAACTTACTGTAGATTAAAAACAAATAAAAGTAAAGTAAAGTCATCACCGCACTGGGACCAACAACCTCACATATGGAGCTCCACAACTCCATCAGCATGTATGTCCCTGCGTGTTGGAGCGCACGTAGGCCCATACACTGTGTTCAACCCGGGGGGGNNCGGGGGGGGGGGGCACGTAATGCACACACTGATGCCACACTTCAGGTCAAAGACCACAACCACACAGAAGACAGTGGTCTGCATGCCTTACAGTGGATGGCGAAATAGTCACTAAATGCTGGGGGAACGTAGCGAGAGCACATTAAATGACATGAGATCCAACACTCAGCTGCACATGAGTGACAGTTAAAGGTTTCATATAGAGAAGCACAGGAGTTTGGTACTGTGGGAGCAGGACACCAAGGTTCAGACTGAAAAGGATAATAATGCGTGTATAATGAGCGTGTAGGTAAATCTAAATGATGGATCCTAAAGAAATACGCAGAGCAATATTAGGACAATACACCCAACGATTGTGGGAAAGCATCATACTAAAGTGAACTAATCCGACAATAAAAACACCGTCTATAGGCTAAAAGTCAATTACCTGCCGCATCTGGCTCTGTAGGACATCAAACGACCAGAGTATGTCGGTGAGGTTCCCGGCGAGCAGGGCAGGCTGTAGCTCATTTTGCAGCGCATGTTGGCGTTTCTCTCAAGTTCAGTTTCTCCAAAGTGTTACTGCTGCACAACTCCACAGTGAGTGACAACACACATTCGTCTGGTTTGAGTCGGAGCTCCAGTGTGTCTTAAAAAACCACGCTGCTGGGTCACGTGGTGCGAAAACAAGGGGGGCGGAGTCCAGCCTCCTCCCTCCTCCCTCCACTTCACTGACTGCTCGGAGGACGCTTCTTCCAGGTGACATTATTCACTGCCACTGTCTGCCCAAACATGATACACTATACACAGGGTTTATTCAAAAGGCTCCACGTTAATTAAAAGGGAGACGGTGTTTAGCATGTACTGACAGAGAGGTCTGTGTCTGCTTGTTCCTGTTCCCTTGTGTTACAGTAGAAAATGATACACTGTTGAGTTGGCATTTTTCTGTAACCAGATTAGCCTTTTAAAGTCGTTTCAAACTTCATCTCCACAGTAGTTCTCATGCACAAGAGGAGTCTCCACATGTTGGCCACCCAGTGCCATTTCAATGGGATTAGCAGTGTTGAGGAAAAGCAATTTAAAATTCTTTTGATGATTAAAAATCTGTGTAGATGCCACCAAAAAAAAAAAAAGCATGAGCTGTATAGTAGTGATGGAAGCTCAAAGGCAAATGAGAACATTATACGTTTTTATTTGTCACGTTGATATTAGGCGCATATCAGTGCAGTGAAACGCACAGAAAGTCACACTTGCTGAATTGCATGTGCTTCGCAAGTAATCACATTTGTAATGCAGCATTCCACATTTCTACAGTCTTCCTTTATTCTCCTCTTTCCTGGGGCAATGCAAAGAAGAAAAACATGTGAGGCAAAAGGATGACTGGGATTTAAAATGGCAGCGTATTTTTCTACTCATTTGAATGTAGTTCAGAGGTAATGTATGGCATGACAGATCCACACGGATGTGATGACAGCAGATAAATGAGTCGCATTCCAAAACGGGCAACTCGCTCGGCCGTGTGATCTAAAGGCTGATAAAGCGAAGAGAATACATTCCTGCCTTTGAACTCAGCATTTACACATCCGGGACAATGAGAGAAAAGAATGTCCAAGAATTTAGGCTGGAAAGAGACAAGCAGGTTGGACCAAATTAGCGTGTCAAATGAGTGGCCTGAAGAAGTTACAAGAAATGTTCGGGGGAGACGAAAACAAAACAAAACAAAAAAAATGTGTTGCCATTCGGTTTCCAAGGAAAACATAGCAAACTGTACATTTTATTCAAGGAGGAAGACATGTGGTGGTTTATGTAAGGACCACTTGCTGTGTTAACCTCAACATGGGCCTTCCCTGCAGACTGCAGCAGCGCACACATGCACTCGTCACCCCCACCACCAACAAAGTCTCCAGGACCACAAGGCAGCACATTCCAACTCTGGACACCTCCGGCCCCGAGGCCAGCACCTCTAAACTGAGACATCTGTGTCAAGAGCCACCATCATGCTGTGACAACACACAGTCAAGTTCTTTACTGAGGACCAGTTATCAAAACAGTCCTGTAGCTACAAGTCTTTGGTTTGGTACTGGCTAAAGTTTGCCAGGTCGCCGCCCTGCCCACACACCTCTGTAGGAAGATCTAAACTCAGTGCCTTAAATGTAAATCTCACCGAGTATGACTTTATCCATGGCTCTGTTTCCCTTGAGACACGTGAGCAAAGTGTGGTCTCCTCCGTCTCTCTGGGTTTATCACATGATGTTTCATAGCGTCAAAAATTCAATGTGCTCTCCATTAAGGGCACAGATGCACCGGCACACGTCCCCGTCGCAAAGCATACAAACACTCCCTGTGGGGGGAGGCAGCTGAATCAATTAGACCCCAGCCTTTCAGTGATGACCCCAGCCTTTCAGTGATACCACCCCCCCCCCCTTCACTCACCATTTGCAGTCTTATTTTCAACTATAGCTGAGGGGCTGAACAACAAGAGAGGCCACTAAACGACTCCACGGTGTTCTCTTGCATTCACCCTGCTTTAGTTCAGCCTAAATCGCCGCTTTCGAAAGACCAGTTCCAGCCGCTTCGCCAGATACGGCAGCAGAGCCCGATTAAGCTGGGAACAAAACTTTTCAGTAAAGCCACAGCACTTCAAGCGAAGGACT